TTGTGGGCAACTTTGGGCCATTGGAATACACAATATATATACACCATAGTATGAGACCGAAAGAGAAGGGTTTATCAAATGATGACATTGAGAGGATTATCAACTTCGATTGGGATGCCTCCACTGACGAAGAAAGTGGTGATGAAATGGAAGATATCTCTGCAGTGCTGGAGAAGAATTTAAAAGATATCGTGGACAAAGGAGAATCAATAGAAATTGAATATATTGACAACTTTATCAAAAAAGAATGTAACCAGGAACCTAGTGCTGTGGCTAAGAGTTGCTTTGAAAAAGTTGATCCCAAGACATTAAAATGGAGAACAAGGCCATTTGAAGCTCCAAAAAGTATTTGGGAAGCGGACGATAAACTCCAAGTCGGTAGCGTGATGACACCTGTAGAATATTTCTGCACCTTTTTTGATATCAAAGTAATTGACTTGATAACAAATCAAACGAATTTGTATGGGTTGCAAGAGCACGGCATAGAGCTTCAATGCACCGGAGATCTTATCAAGCGATATATTGGGATTTTGTTATACTTGGGAGTAATAAAAGTTCCGCAACTGAAAATGGCTTGGTCAAAAGAGTTAAAGCTTACTGCTATATCAGATTCAATGCCATGAGGAAGGTTTGAAAAAATCAAACAATGTTTACATTTCAACGATAACACTAAACAATCCAAAAAAGGAGATGTGAATTATGATAAGCTGTACAAGATACGCCCTTTACTAGACATTCTCAAAGAAAGTTTCGGTAAACTACCCCAAGAAGAGCATCAAAGCGTTGATGAGCAAATCATTGCGTACAAAAGTATTCAAATTTAAATTTTACTAGAAAATATATCTTCAATTTAAATTTTGTTTCCAGGTCAATCGTCATATAAGCAATACAATCCAGCTAAGCCTCACAAATGGGGTCTGAAAATGTTTACTCGTGCTGGAACATATGTTGGTGAAGGCACCTGCACTTGTTATACCCGTTACTCGTAGAGTAAAAGGGTATACTAGATTCGTCGGAAAGTATGTAACAGGCAGAAGGAAGCGTTTCCGACCCCATAAAGTATATATATTCTTGATCAGGATCACTAGCCGAGTCGATCTAGCCATGTCCGTCTGTCCGTCTGTCCGTCTGTCCGTCTGTCTGTCCGGATGAACGCTGAGATCTCGGAAACTATGAGAGCTAGGCTATTGAGATTTGGCGTACAGATTCCTGAGCTTCTTAGGCAGCGCAAGTTTGTTTCAGTAGAATGCCACGCCCACTCTAACGCCCACAAACCGCCCAAAACTGTAACTCCTACAGTTTTGATGCTAGATAGAAAATTTTAACTGAAATGTATTGTTCTCAACAATACCTATCGATTGACCTAAAAAAAAGTTTGCCACGCCCACTAAAACGCCCACAAACCGCGAAAACCTGTGACGCCCACAATTTGCATGCTAGATAAGAAATTTTAACTGAAATGTATTGGTGTCGTCAATACCTATCGATTGATCCAAAAATAAATTTTCCACGCCCACTCTAACGCCCATAACGCTTAAATCTGTCTACCGCCGGTAGGTGGCGCATTTTAATCTCGCTTTGCTGCTTGCATATCTCTATTTCCCTTTGAGTAACGGGTATCTGATAGTCGAGGTACTCGACTATAGCGTTCTTCCTTGTTTTGGATTGGGAATATCATCGGATGTAGTATTATATTTAGCAAAAGGGCTTCCCGAAGACAAACCTTTCAAGCTTTATTTTGACAATTGGTTTACGTCAGTTAGTCTTTTGATTGCATTGAAGGAAATGGGCATATTTGCAACTGGAACTATCCGCAAAAATCGCATAAGCAATTGCCAACTTCTTTCAGATGCAGAATTGAAAAAACGTGGAAGAGGATCTTTTGATACAAAATATGAAGTTAACAAAAATCTTTCATGTGTAAAATGGTTTGACAATAAGTCAGTTCAACTTCTATCTTCGTGTGAAGACCATCAACCAGTTGGAATATGAAAACGATGGAGTCCAAAAGATAAAGCTTACATTGATGTAGCAAGGCCTGCTATTGTAGCTTCGTATAATAAGGGTATGGGAGGAGTCGATTTAGCGGACATGCTCATGGAGTTGTACAAAGTTAACCCCCGTTCCAGAAAGTGGTACATGAGAATTTTTTATTGGTGCTTGGGAACATCAATGACAAATGCATGGCTACTGTACAGAAAGCATTTTCAAATGATAAACCCGAACCAAAAGTATATGCCGCTTATCAAATTTCAAATGGAAGTTGCTCATGAGCTGCTACTCTACTTTGTTCGAAAAAAAGAGAGGACGGCCATCAAATGCACAAAGGGAAAGCTCAGTCATATCCTTGGGGTCTCCATCAAGCAGTGTGTCTTCGAATCAATCCAAAAAATATAGGTTTCAGCCCGATCCTACAACTTCTCAGCGTTAGGATAAATTGGAACATTGGGTGGTATTTGCTGAAAAAGGACGTTGCAGATTGTGCAAGACAGGTACTCCAATGTCGAAATGCAATAAATGTAAGGTCCACCTTTGATGCAACAACAATAAAAACTGTTTTATAAGTTACCATACTTAAATTTTTAAAATAAAAGAAATTAACTGTCACCTAAGGATTTTTCTTTAAGTTTACCACCACTGCCCAATTTGCTCACAAGCAACTTCCGGTAGCGCCCAAAATAGTGGGCGTGGTGCCTTAAAATTTTTGCTCAAATACTTCTAAGGCCAATAAAAAACGAATAAAGTAAAAAAAAATTTTTTAATTCTACAGGGAAAAAGTTGGGGTCGAAAGGGTTAAGCCTAACTTAACTTAAGCGCTCCAGAGCAAAGAGGAGACTTAGGGGAGAGATGGAGAGGAAGAGCGAACGGCAGTGCGAGCGCGCGAGATGTAGACATCTGGATAAAACTGCCGCTCGACACTGCCTCCTGAAATTAAACGCCCTTTTGACGTGAACAATCAGGATCACTAGCCGAGTCGATCTAGCCATGTCCGTCTGTCCGTCTGTCTGTCCGGATGAACGCTGAGATCTCGGATACTATAAGACCTAGGCTATTGAGATTTGGCGTGCAGATTCCTGAGGTTCTTACGCAGCGCAAGTTTGTTTCAGCAGAGTGCCACTCTAACGCCCACAAACCGCCCAAAACTGTGGCTCCTACAGTTTTGATGCTAGAATAAAAATTTTTGCTGAAATGTTATTTCAGTTATCTCAGCAGGGTGCGGTCTCAAACCGCCCAAAACTGTGGCGCCCACAGTTTTTATACTAGAAACAAAATTTTAACTGAAATTACCTATAAATTGACCGCCCGCAAACTTCAAAAAATCGTAAATATGAACGCGGATATCTCGGAAAATATAAAAGATAGAGAATTGGGATTTCAGATTTAGATTCCGTAGCCTTGGGCGCAGCGTAAATTTGTTACCCGTATATGCCCAAAAACCGACCAATCCTGTGGCGCCCAAAATTTTCATGCTAGAAAAAAAGGTTAACTGAAATGTATTGGTGTCGTCAATACCTATCGATTGATCCAAAAAAATTTGCCACGCCCACTCTAAAGCCCATAACGCTTAAATCTGTCTACCTCCGGTAGGTGGCGCATTTTAATCTCGCTTTGCTCCTTGCATATCTCCATTTAGCTGAGTAACGGGTATCTGATAGTCGATGTACTCGACTATAGCGTTCTTCCTTGTTTTTAGAATGAAAACTGTGGGAGCCTCAGTTTTGGGCGGTTTGTGGGCCTAAGAGCGAACGTGGCAAAATCATTAGGTATTGACGAGATTAATATATTTTAGCTAAACAAACATGCGCTTCTTACGAAAATAAATATGAAATCTGAAGTATCAACACTCTAGATCTTATATTTTCCGAGATTTAAGCGTTCACACGGACAAACGAAAATGGCTAGATCGACTTGGCTAGGGATGCTGAAGAAGAATACACATACTTTATGGGGTCGGTTTTTAGACTTTTATTTAAAAGTCATTGAATAAAAGTTACTGAAAGAATCTTAACTTACAATTTAATTTACAATTTATACAAGTTGGAAAATAACAGTTACTTAATGACTTATAAGGAAAAGGCGATGAGTAATGATCAAAGAATAATTATACCCGTTACTCGTAGAGTAAAAGGGTATACTAGATTCGTCGGAAAGTATGTAACAGGCAGAAGGAAGCGTTTCCGACCCCATAAAGTATATATATTCTTGATCAGGATCACTAGCCGAGTCGATCTAGACATGTCCGTCTGTCCGTCTGTCTGTCCGGATGAACGCTGAGATCTCGGAAACTATGAGAGCTAGGCTATTGAGATTTGGCGTGCAGATTCCTGAGATTCTTACGCAGCGCAAGTTTGTTTCAGTAGACTGCCACGCCCACTCTAACGCCCACAAACCGCCCAAAACTGTAACTCCTACAGTTTTGATGCTAGATAGAAAATTCTAATTCTAATTCTAATTCTATTGTTCTCATCAATACCTACCGATTGAACCAAAAAAATGTTTGCCACGCCCACTTTAACGCCCACAAACCGCGAAAACCTGTGACGCCCACAACTTTCATGCTAGATAAAAAAATGTAACTGAAATGTATTGGTCTCGTCAATACCTATCGCATTTTATCTCGCTTTGCTACTTGCATATCTCTATTTAGCTGAGTAACGGGTATCTGATAGTCGAGGTACTCGACTATACCGTTCTTCCTTGTTTTTTTCGGTATTTGTTGACATTATATTGTTATTTGTTTCTTGTCTACAGCCGACAACTAAAAAAGTTATACCTATATATTTTTTGTTGATTTTTGTAAACTATAAATTGAACAACTTAATTTGTTCATTAACCCCATAACTGAAGTAGAAATATTTTTAAGTTTAAGTGTATAGTTAAATTTGTTTTCCATTATTGTACATTTTTAACTTTTTTTGAAGAAGAAATAAATCATTTTCACACCTGCATAGAGTTTTAGTGTGTATTTATCAGTTCGTTACCTTTCCCTACAACTGGTGGAAAGTCACATTTAAAAAAAGAATTGTTCGTCACTATACCCAACACTCCCCTATTGTATTAGGCCAACCACAGATCACTCTAGCTTTTAGAATTTATGTTATGGTGTTTCAGTATTAAGTAAAAAGATATCGATAGATGTACGATAGCACCTAAGACGATGTACCGATAGGATATATCGTAGAAGGTCCACTCTCTAAATATCCTTAAGCCTAGTACTCACATCGACGAAAACCGTGAACTAGCCGTAGGAGTGAGCAAGAGTCAAATAGACGGCTTACGCTTTTCGTCGGGTCTGTTTTTCAGCGTAGTTCTCAGATAAGATAAGGAAATACCAGAAAAAATATCAGAATGAATTTCGATGAACGCCGTTAGCCGTTAGCCGCCGCGCAAAGAATAACAAATTTAAACTTTCGATGTGTTCGTGCAGAAGCGCTATTGAGAGGAAAAATTAAAAATGGAAGGCAACCCCCTAAACGCCTGCAGGAGGTGAGTGCAGATGAAAAAGGACGTATAATCCAAACTTTATCCAAGTTGGCCATTATTGTGGAACTTGACCCACAGAAAGCAATACCACAGTAGTGCAAATTCGCAGAATAGTTGAAGTGCTGGAGATAATTCAATCGAGAAGCCCATTGGGAAGGAGCATAACGAGTGGAACTTCCCTCCCTATATGGAGTTCTTGCCGGACGTGTACTCGCAAAGAAAGTAAGTTCTGACCAAAGGAATTTGGTCACGTTGTACTAATATAAGTATCTTTTTAGCAGAGCCACCAGTTTTACGATCTCCGACGAGCTCAGAATTAAAGAATCGTAGTACTGCACTCCCGCCAGCTACTTGGCAGCTAATGCGGAGCTGGAGGGTGTCTTTTATAGGGAGGAGGAAAAAAAACGCCCGCTAAGGGACAGCTGGTGGAACATCCGTAACATTCATGTTGGCATATTACGAATCGGAGCTGGACTGCAGATAGCGCAAAAAAAAAAATGACATGAGAAGGAAGCCTTAAACCAATAATAAACATTAAAAACATTCAATGTATTTGAACATTCAATGTATATTTATTTCTTTGTACACCAGCAGATTCGTCTCTTTTAGATCGTCAACAAAACAAACCCAGCTGCTTGACAGTAAGACCATGCTATATGCACGGCGGGAGAACTTTAAAAACTTCGATAACACTACAATGAATACTATTTTTCGACTAGTAAAACGTTTAGCCGATCTGAGTACTAGGCTTTAGAAGAAAAAGGAAGCATATGAGATAAAACGAATAAACTAAAGGAAAAGACTATCTGCCACAGTTCAGACGAGATTTGAACATTCATCATTTTGTTCGTTATACTATGGAACGGAGAATCCGATATATCTAAAAAAAATGACGACCTCGGCAACTCTAAAGTATACAACATTGTTATAGAACAGCCTTCTTGTATTTAAAAATATTTTGTAATTTGTGCTTATGCCAATTATTTATTGTTCCTTTAATTTTATGCATTAAATCAGTCGTCATCTAGCTTTCTTTGCGTCCAGACGTGCTTAAAATTCTCGCTATGTTACTTCCCCGCTGTCCCGAGTGCAAAACCGATGTTACATTGGCCCAGCTTCGCGCTTCGGATGCTGTTCGCTGCTCTTCTTTGTGCCGTCGCGCCTATCATACTTCTTGCGTAGCCCTACCGGATGATGTGCTCAAACTGTTATTAAATCCAAATATACTATGGCAATGTGATAGCTGTGTGGGTGCGAATGATTCGCATTCTAAAATAGATGAATTCGATGAAAAATTGAAAGCCCTGGAGCGCTTATATCAGGGCCTTCAAAATAAATTCATGGAGGCGTTCCCCCCTAAAGATGATGCATTGCATCAGAATGTAAATCCCAAACCTTGTCTACCGAGGCCTACCAACGTAGCTGCAGCTCCCCTGTCATATGCGGCTGCTGCTGCTACGGCTTCCGCGGTCGTTGACCCTTCTAATCATGCTCTGGATATGGAGAGAGGAAATTTCATACAAGTTCGAAATAAGAGGAGAAGGAACAACAACAAGCCCAATAAACATGTTGTTGGAGTGGCTCCTAATGCTGAAGACCTTCATGTTTTGCCGACCAAGAAATTTTTGCATGTCGGAAAGTTTGCAACTGATACAGAGCCGAATGCTGTTTTAAAATATGTGTCCACCAAGCTTAAGGTGGATGCTAGTTCTCTCACTTGTGCAAAGCTTGTAAAAAAAGATGTCGACGTTCAAACTTTAAAATTTGTAAATTTCAAGCTTGGTATCCCTGATCAGCTTTACGATATAGTCTTCAAAAACGATTTCTGGCCGAACTCAGTTAAGGTCAAAAGATTTATTCATAGAGAGCGGGCCACTGCGGTAGGGGATGGAATTTTATCTAATTTGCCGGAGCCTGGACCAACTTCATCATCAAGTCAGGCGTCCAAAAACCCCTAGTGTTCGACGCCACTGGCGTCGATACTTTTGCGGGACATCGTCCTCAAGCCTTTCCTCATTTGTCAGAGTCGTTTTCGCAACAACATCGGCAGCTGCTTGCGTTTCTCACTGCGCTCTCTTCATCTTCTGACTCTCTCCTAACGCACCATCAACAACATCAGCCGGAGCTTTTGTTGTCCACTTTGTGCGACATTCGCCGTCCGCCTGGCTTGAATATCGGCACGCTCCTCGGAGTTGCGCTCACATCATTTTCCGTGGCTCTCCTGATGCTTCATCAACAACATCAGCCGGAGCTTTTGTTGTTTGCTTTGCGAGACGTTCGCAGTCCACCTGGTTCTAATATCGGCGCGCTCCTCGGAGTTGCGCTCTCATCATCTTGCGCCTCTCTCCCGTTGCACCGTCAACAACATCAGCTGGAGCTTTTGTTGTCCGCTGTGCGCGACATTCGCCGTCCGCCTGGCTCTAATATCGGCGCGCTCCTCGGAGTTCCGCTCTCATCATCTTGCGTCTCTCTCCGGAAGTACCTAGAAAATCGGGTGGATTCTTACTCTTCATCGCCTAATAGTTATGCGCTCTCCGTCTCTACCTTTCTGACGTTCGACTTTCTACAACAACTCTCTCAGAGTGCTCTCTCTGAAGGTGCTCTTTGGAGATGCTTTCGCCATCAACAACAACAATGGACTGCGGCTGCTGTAGTACGTTCTCGCTCATTATTACCAGAAGTGGATTCACCTGCGTGCAGTTATATCTTGAATGCTAATATTGACTGCCCACCTAATATTTGGAGCGCCGATCACCAGCCTATTCGTATCCGTACCACTACTTTACTGAAGGTTCTTACAAATAATTTTATTAATTATGATAAAATCCCAGCGAGGCCTCGTACGGATTCGGGCCATGATGCTGGACCAGTTATTGATAGCATGACCATGGATGACCGGATATGCGCTAACAATACAAATTTCAATATTTATTTTCAAAATATCGGTGGTATGCGTACGAAAGCTCAATCCCTTTTCCAGGCAACGTCTCATGGTGATCATGACGTCATCATTTTTGTTGAAACCTGGCTCAACATGGATTTTTTCGATAATGAATTCTTCGATACAAATCTTTATCATGTGTTCCGTAAGGATCGAGATTCCGTTAAAACACGATGCTCCAGAGGTGGCGGAGTTTTAATTGCTGTGCGGCGTGAGCTGCGTTGCATTGCTATTTGTCTCCAGAACGAGGATTCTCTGCTCGACCAACTCTGTGTATCTCTCGCTGGTCCTACGGAAACAATTTTCCTGACAGTATCATACATACCCCCAAGCAGCAGTTTTGATTTATATAAAGCGCATGTTGACAACATTGCCCACCTATACCAGGAGCTGGAAGATGGCCATTATATATGTGTTTTGGGCGACTTCAACCTATCTTCGCTCGTGTGGGCTCATGATCTTGAGTCTTCAGCAATGGTTCCCAGTAATCTGCATCTTCCCCATGAAATCTTAGTCATCGATGAGCTTCTTAGTATGGGATTAGTCCAGATTAACCATGTTTTTAATAACTTAAATAAGCTTCTAGATCTAATTTTTGTACACCCTGATTTATGCCTTACTCTATGCTGCAGCGATAATCCTCTAGCCGCGTGTGATGCTCATTACAAGCCCCTATTAATCTTAATTACTTGTTATATTTTCTCACCAAATAATTCTCGCTTGCCTCTTACCTATATTAATTCTAGCAGTTTAGATTCTATCCGTAGTGATATTTCTAATATCAGATGGGCGGAAGTCCTCTCGCATGCGGATGTGAATACAACCTATGAAGTTTTTATATCTTTTCTCTCTACTATTATAGGCAGATATGCTAAAACTAGAGTTCAAAGTTCTTATAGACTACCATGGTACACACAAGGACTAAAAAAATACAAAAATCTCCGAAATAAATTCTATAAGCGCTACATAGAAAGCGGTGAAGCTGCCGACTATGATCGGTACAAACAACATAAGCGTGAGTTTGAGTTCCTCAATAAATTCTTATACAGCCAATATATTGCTGATATAGAGTGTAAACTAATTACCAATCCTAAGTCATTCTGGCACTTTATCAATTCTAAACGTACAACCTCCTACTTTCCTTCCCATATGTCATATGAAAGTCTTTCAGCTTCTTCTGATATTGGGGTCGCTAATCTATTTGCTAAGTACTTTGTATCTAACTTTGAACCGAGCTCGCTGTGGAATGACGATGATTCACTCGGTGCCATTGCCACGATGCTAAATATTGGGTGCTTAGATGTTACTGATTTGGACTGTCATATGGCGGCTGAGAGTTTTAACGACTCAGGAAAATTAGACTGCGATGGCCTTTCTCCATTTATTTTGAAAAACTGTATAGGTGTTCTTTGTGAGCCCCTAAAAATGATCTTCAACAAGTCTCTTTCCACTGGCGTATTTGCGCATAGATGGAAACTTGCCACAGTTTCTCCTATATTCAAGTCTGGTTACAAAAACATTGTTTCAAATTATAGGCCAATTGCAAAGCTAAGTAATGTTTTAAAAATGTTTGAACGAATTGTAGCTAAGCAGCTAACTTTTCTTGCTGGTCGGATCATCAGTCCTAACCAACATGGTTTTATGCCTGGAAGGTCAACTACCACTAACTTAGCTACGTTTAATCTTTTTTGCATCCACTCGTTTATCAGTCATCATCAAGTTGATGTAGTCTACACCGACTTCGCAAAGCATTTGACAAAGTCTCCCATAATGCTTTATTGGCAAAATTGCAGAAATTGGGATTTCATTCATTAATATTAAATTGGTTTAAATCTTATTTAGATGGGCGGATTTATAGAGTAGAGTGCAATGGTGTTTTCTCAAACCCGTATGTGGCTACTTCTGGCCTTCCTCAGGGAAGTGCATTGGGTCCGTTTCTATTCATCATCTTCATTAATGATTTAAGCTATTGCATAACAAATTCTGAATTCCTGTTGTTTGCGGACGATCTTAAAATATTTAGGTCTGTGAATTCAATCTCCGATAGTGAACTTCTTCAAAATGACCTAGTAAAAGTGGGAAATTGGTGTTCTCGTAATAAGTTGCCTCTGAACGTGTCAAAATGTTTCTACGTTAGGTACAGCAAACGATTAATTAATGTCCTTAGCTCTTATTCCATTAGTTCCCATGTTCTTTCCTTAAGAAATGAATCACTGGACCTAGGAGTTATGTTTGATACCAAATTTACTTTCATGGATCACATAAACTACATAATTCCAAAGGCATACGCTATGTATGGTTTTGTAAAACGAAATTCCACGCAATTTAAAGATCCGTACACGAAACTAAGCCTATTTTCTTCGTTCATTAGGTCCAGATTGGAATATGCTTCGTTTGTCTGGAGTCCGACTGGAACTACACACATCAATCGTATTGAGCGTGTTCAAAAAAAATTCCTATCTTTTGCCCTTCTTTCTCTAAACTTTAATGACCCGGTTCCCTCTTACTCTGCGAAATGTCGTCTTGTGCACCTTTCTTCCCTACAAGATCGTAGAACAACTAGCGCACTAGTTTTTATTTGTGACCTGCTGTCCTCCAAAATAGACTGCCCTGCATTGCTGAGTAGCATAGGCTTTTCCGTACCTGGTAGGTCTTTAAGGTCATTTGAACCTTTTTTTATTCCGGCATATAGAGCTAACTATGCTTTTAATGAGCCTCTGTGTAGAGCCTTGTTCTACTGGAACAAACTTCCATCTCACATGCGGCTGGACCCATGCTCCCCTAGGGAATTAATTAAGAAAACCCTTTACAATTACCTTTCGTCCCTTAGTATTTAGTTTAGTAATAGACAAGTAGCCAGTTAAGGTACCAACTTTTGGCGAAATAAATAAATAAATAAATAAATAAATCTATACAACTAATGCGTACAGATAAAAACCAACAGAGGGCCAAAAGAAATTTAATATTATGATAAGGGCAAATCCAGCATTGTAACGAATTCACTTCCGAGTGGAAATTGGAACAGGCCCATTATTAAACCCGTTTCTTGAAGAGTAGAAGGGTATACTAGATCCGTCAGAAAGAATGTAACAGGTTTTTACCTGTTCCCGTTCCCGACCCTACAACTATATATAATCCTGATCAGGATCATTAGCCGAGTCGATCTAGCTATGTCCGTCTGTTCGTCCGTATGAACGCTGATTTCGGAAACTATAAAAGCTATAAATTTGGGATTTGGCATGTAGATTCATGAGCTTTTTGCGCTCGTTTCAGCAGAGTGCCATGCCCACTCAAACGCCCACAAACGATTATAGCACTAAAACCCGTCTAGCGCCCACATTTTTAATATTTGGTAAAAATTTAAATGAGAGTTGGCTTTTATTATCTATACGTATGTATCTACATGCCAAATATTATTGAAAATTGTAACCGAAATACTTATTTTTAGCTTAATATGACAACCCTGGCCTATTTTAGCCAAATCCGAGCGGATTTCAGTACAAGTGCGGCAGATTTGCACTAACTAAAGGTTAAATCTTAACGGATTTTGAGGTGCAACCACAAAACAATTATTAATAAATCAAATGAGCAGTTAATTTAAAATCTGATGACCCAATAATTCACATTAAACATCAAGGAATTTGAATAAAATATAACTGGGATGCAAAGAAATGCAAATTATTTCAAAAAAAAAAAAACATTCCTGTTGTCGAACCTAAATCCGACAGTCAAATGTTTGGCGAAAAGTTCCCGTGAGAACTTTTCAAAAGCTAACAGAGTAAGATGGGGAAATTCGTTAAGTTCTTTAGAATAACTTCCTGAAGGACTTCACGAATTATTAGTATACAAAATAATTTCCATGAAACGCACCCAAGCGCGTGATAAAAAATTCTGTTAGTGTTGGATCCTTCTGAATCACGAATCGTATCCACCCAATTTTTTTTTAGAGTCAATAGACCAGAGCTAAACTTTGAAATAAATATCAATATCATTGCATAAAAGATAATTTTAATCGACTATAAGACGGCTGTACATTTAGTAAAAATCGAAAATACTGGGTTCGAACTTGAAGTTTACATCCCAGCAAATAAGGAACAAGTCGTATATGGCCAACATTAATGGAAAATTGGAATTTAACGTGGGTTAAATTAATTGGGTGAATACGAGTCGAGAAATAAGAAGAAACTCGAAAAAGTCAAAGCTTTAACGTTTTAAACTTCCAAATACCTTAAAATACCTCATCGGAAAAAATGTTTGTGGCATTTTCGTGATCCAGGGGTATACAGCTTACAGAATTTGCTATAAATCGTTTGGGTGCGTTGTGGCTGTATACTAATAGTATTGGAACAGGTCTTGAAAATTCTAATCAGTCTGAATATTTCGAAAGTGAAAACTGAAACAGTTTCAGTTTTAGTTTTAAACAGAGGGTATTTTTCTGAATTGGGCGGTTTTAACACACTATAAAATTTGAACTTAAAAACTCTTTTGTCGACCAAACTCTGATATTTTTAGAGTGTTATTTATTTACCACCTTTAATATGTAAAAAAATTTTAAGCAAATTAAAAATGTGAAAAAATACTTTTTGGTAATTCGATCAAATTGTAATTTATTTAAATAATTGGTATGACCTCAAAAATGTATATACTAATGTTGCTTCAACATATTAAAGTTTTGATATCAACTTTTTTAACGAAAATGTATTTTATGACACACTAAATAAAAACACATCCTAAATGTTTCTCATTTGGTATGATGCAATACAATATGCCTGTGTAGGCAATAAGCAGAACGAAATTGATAAAACATGCAGAATGGAAAAAATGTCTAACAGGTGATTTAAAGAAAAAAAATATATTCATAATTTACGGTACACGCTTAATGGTGACTTAGCAGAGATTTTAAGTAATGCAATCAAAGTTTATATATGTAGAACAATTCATTTAAAAACATCTGTGCACCGCTTTAATTTTTAAATATACCTACAGGGCGACTGGTGGCTGGCGCGCAGCAAGAAGACTCGTTCGGAGGGCTATATTCCTTCTAATTATGTGGCCAAATTAAAATCAATCGAAGCAGAACCGTAAGTACGACAATTGGACAGATTTGAACGTATTAATGAACGAATTAGTGAACGTGCTAAAAACTTCGACAAGAGACTACTGTTGGTAAACAATGTTCACTTTATGAACAAGATAAGTTGTTCACTGTTAAGAGAATGCATGAACTCACTTGTATAACTCAAGAACTCACTTGTTTAATCGTTCAATTGCTCATTTGTTTAGTTGCTCTCTTGTTCAGTTTTTTTTGTTGAACTTATTTTTTTAATTCCCCTTAGTTTTTATACCCGTTACTCGTAGAGTAAAAGGGTATACTAGATTCGTCGGAAAGTATGTAACAGCCAGAAGGAAGCGTTTCCGACCCCAGAAAGTATATATATTCTTGATCAGGATCACTAGCCGAGTCGATCTAGCCATGTCCGTCTGTCCGTCTGTCTGTCCGTCCGGATGAACGCTGATATCTCGGAAACTATAAGAGCTTGGCTATTAAGGCTATGCAGATTCCTGAGCTTCTTACGCAGCGCATGTTGGTTTCAGCAAAGTGCCACGCCCACAAACCGCCAAAAACTTTGGCTCCTACAGTTTCGATGCTAGAATAAAAATTTAAACTGAAATGTGTTGTTCTTATCAATACCTATCGATTGACCCAAAAAAAAGTTTGACACGCCCCCTTTAACGCCCACAATTTTCATGGTCTCGACAATACCTATCGATTGATAAAAAAAAAAATTTGCCACGCCCACTCTAACGCCCATAACGCTTAAATCTGTCTACGGCCGGTAGGTGGCGCATGTTAATCTCGCTTTGCTGCTTGCATATCTCCATTTCCCTTTGGTCCCTTTAGCTGAGTAACGGGTATCTGATAGTCGTACTCGACTATAGCGTTCTTCTTCGTTGTTCCTTGGGTGTTTAATCAGACTCTTTAAAAATATGTTATTAGACAATAATTTTGAGAAGGGAACCGAGCTAAGAAATTCTGACCAAGTGAATAATTGAACAAAATGAGTGAGGAAAATAACTCTTTTGAGCGCCTCACTCATGGACAAGCCAACACTACAACCGACGCTTTTGGAAAAAAGTAAGCGACAAAAACAGTACAATTAAGATTTTATTTCTATTCTAACGAGCTGAAAACTATCCATGACCAATTGGTGACCGTTTAACTCTGCGGTTAACTCTGTTTACACCCGTTACTCGTAACTCGAAGTTTAAAATCACAAACACGGAAACGGTCGCTAACACAGGTGCATATAACCGACAAATTCAAATCATAACAAACACATGTGGATCCCGTAATAATTATTAAAATAATAAACGCACGCTAAAAATTTAGACATACATATAAACTAACTAACAGTCATGTAGACTGTCTTAAGACTAAATGGCCCTAATAATTATTGCTGGGGGGTTAGATCGTTTTGAAGTAGTCGGGTTCTGTTCGAGACCCGTGTTAGATTCCTTGCGAGATTATTTGGGTGCAGAGTAAGTTTCTTATGGTAAACCGCCGCTTTCTGCTTTGATATTTCATCTTTAACCGGCGGTATGCCAAGATCTCTGTGGATGTTCCGAACATACCATGGTGCACCAATGGGTGTTGGCCCTTTTTTTGATTTTGAGCGCTGTATAATATCAATGTTGCTGTTGCTTGCTTAAGAGCTAGAATTGCAGAGCAGAACCTTGAGGTCAGAATGAAAACTGGTTGGATGTTATTGCATTCCATCTCATTGCGAAGACTCTGTGGTAAAGGTACGACTCAAGTAACTTACTAGTGTTTTCTGGCAGTAATGTTATGATTTTATTTTAACCAGCTTTCATTAGTCGCCACTCCCACTATAACGCCCATAACGCTTGAATCTGTCTGCCGCCCACATAACCATATATTGTAATCGCGGGTAGGTAGCGCATTACAAATTGGCTTTGCTGCTTGCATATCTCCATCTCCCTTTATCTGAGTAACGGGTATCTGATAGTCGAGGTAATCGACTATAGCGTTCTTCCTTGTTTTTATCTATGCACATAAGTTGTGTATACATTTGATGCATAAAATGCAATAAACAAACAACATTTGACATAAACTTAAATTGCAATATATTTGTAAAAACAAGAAAGGAAGTTAACTTCGGCTTGCCGAAGTTTGCAACGCAGTGAAAGAGACGTTTCCGACCCCATAAAGTATAGATATTCTTGATCAGCATCACTAGACGAGTCGATCTAGCCATGTCAAAATTTAGTCTGGAACTCTTCTGGGGTCTGCTGGCCAGTATGTTCGGTGTTGTTCGGTTTTATGGTTGTTCCTTTGAAAGTCACGAAGCGTGATCCCCAGTGCGTGCGTTTCGCATTATAGTAATATAAGTAAGTAAGTATATAGTAGTAGTAAGTTGTAAAAATTCATGAATTGTCCTTTTGAAAGCTAGGCGGGCCGTAAACAGTGGCTATGGAGAGGTTTTAGAACCACTTGCAAGCCCTTGCTGGTTTTAAGCTGGAACGTGTTGTAGTTTTTCTTAGCTTTCTCCAAGTATTTGGATACAGCTCGGAAATGTTCTTCAGATTTGGACTGAAGCTTGGTCTCGTGTATATCCCCTTTTGTGACCGGGACAGCATGAAAGTTTCCGATCCCGGTCAGCGCAACAATTTTGTTGACCAGGGCATTCGAGATTTTCTTCCTAATGTAAATTGGTGGGGGCTTTGGCTTCGGTTGGGTCTCTTGTTCCGGTTCATTCAAGGGAAAATATTTTATTGTTTGATCTCCAGGGTAATTTATTGTCAATTTGGACACTGTTTATTTTTGACGTGTTACCTACCTACCGCGGTGTTCTGCGGGCTAAGCTTACGCTTGATATAGATGTAGCGATCTATACCGGTCTGAATGGCCGGACCCGCTTGTTGAATTTTCTTTTGGTTTTGTTGGTTTTTTGCTGCCGTTGCGGTAGTTGTTGCTGTTACATTTAGTGCGATTGCAGAAGTTTTACCGCTGCATGTTGTGGCTGCCCGCCGTCGGAGTAGGCGGTAGGTAAGTAGAGAGGGTGCGCAAGACTGTGCTCTTTTTTGCCCTTCGCTATTGCGCGTTGAGACGTATGAGAAGTACCCGAGTCTTCAATTTAAACCACGAACTGAAGTAGTAATTTTTGTTAGGTGTACAGTTAAAAGTGAATTCCATAAGTGTACCTTTTTACTTTTCTTCAAGAAAAAATAAATAATTTTCAGATCTGCATAGAGTTTTGAGTGTGTATTTATCAATTTGTCACCTTACCCTACAACTTTTAAAAGTGAAATATTGGTTCACTCCAAGAGCTGTAGTAATTAATTCCGCTTGAAACTCACCATCAAACTTTTACAGGAATATGCTGCTGTGAATAAACCTTTGACAAATACCTAAATTGGCATTAAAAAAACAAATTGTACCCAACACTCCCCTACTTATTTGGACCAGAACAAGTGTTTGGTTTTGACGCGGGGCCTGTGATTCCGTAGCCCAGACAAAATGAAAATAATTTCTTTTTAAAGAAAATAAAATATTTATCGATCGCAAATTACTGTAATAAACCATTTAAGTAAATAAATGGTGTTACTATCATGAGTAAGCACTTACAATTTTTTTAAAGTACATAATTGATGAGCTAATATCTGGCCTAGGTCACTTCTAGCCATATTAAAACCAATTGGCTTTTTAACAAAAAAAAAGTGTGAACTTTTATCGATAAAAGCTTAATACAACTTTCTTATATGTGATGACTTTTGACATCTATTAACGATTAATCAAAAACTTACCTCGGCGGAAAAATTGAAGTATGCAATCATTTTTCACATCTTTCGACGTGGATTATCCCGACAATAGTGCATCGATTAACTTAAATCTTTGTGTGGCGATGAAGCACCATTCTATAGCACTGTGAAAAACTGATTTAATGAATTCAATCGTGGCCGACGCTCGCTCAAAGACGAAAGTCGTGAAGGTCGTTCAAAAACAGTCATTGTGCCAGAGAACAGTGATGCCGTGCGTTATCTGATAATGCAAGATCGTACTGTGACATATCGTCAGAGAGAGGCATCCTTGGCAATTCTTCCACGTTTATAAAAACGTCACAGGTGACGAGTCTTGAAAACCGCGTGGGTCCTCGAAGACGACCCAAATCCAACGAAAGTTGTTTGTGGATGAAACACTTCATAGCAAATGTTTGCCTGGTTCTTCGGTTAAACTGGTCATGTGGCGACTTTTCCGCTTGGACAACGTAAGACGGTCAATTCCGAACGGTACACCACAATTTGTTTGCCTGAAGTCTTCGGATGCATTCAATAAACGATAAAAAGAAGGCAGATCACATGCACTATGACAATAAGAGCTCACACACATCAGCCCAAACCAGCGCCTTTTTGATCGGCCAAAACGTCAAATTGATGGGTCCTCAATACATATATAATAGCAACCTTGTATAAAATACTTTGTTCTCCTTGACAGAAAAAATCGATCCGCTTTCCTCTACTGTTTTTTACCGAATATTTATACCCATTACTCGTAGAGTAAAAGGATATACTAGATTCGTCGGAAAGTATGTAACAGGCAGAAGAAAGCGTTTCCGACCCCATAAAGTACATATATTCTTGATCAGGATCACTAGCCGAGTCGATCTAGCCATGTCCGTCTGTCCGTCCGGATGAACGCTGAGATTTTGGAAACTATAAGAGCTAGGCTATTGATATTTGGCATGCAGATTCCTGAGCTTCTTACGCAGCGCAAGTTTGATTCAGCAATGTGCCACGCCCACTCTAACGCCCATAAACCGCCCAAAACTGTGGCTTCTACAATTTTGATGCTAGAATAAAAATTTTAACTAAAATGTATTGTCCTCATCAATACCTATCGATTAACCCACAAAAAAGGTTCGGCTCGCCCACAAACCGCCCACAATCTTCAAAAAATCGTAAATATGAACGCGGATATCTCAGAAACTATAGAAGATAGAGAATTAAGATTTCAGATTTAGATTCCGTAGCCATGAGCGCAGTGCAAGTTTGTTACGCAAAG